GCGATCCTCCTGCCTCAGCCTCCCGAGAAGCTGGGACTACAGGCATGTCCACCATTCCCAGCTAATTTTTTTCTATATATTTTTAGTTGGCTGATTAATTTCTTTCTATTTATAGTAGAGACGGGGTCTCGCTCTTGCTCAGGCTGGTTTCAAACTCCTGACCTTGAGCGATCCACCTGCCCCGGCCTCCCAGAGTGCTAGGATTACAGGCGTGAGCCACCGCGCCCGGCCAAGAGGCACTGTTTTTATTTCTGCTGTTTATGAACCACCCAGTCTATGATACTTTCTTACGGTGGCCTGAATGGATGAAGACACCCTCCTTCCTTCAGCAGCTACAGAGTGGACAAGCTAAATGAAACAACCGTATTCAAGCCTTCGATCCCAGGCAGCCCGGAACGGTGTGAGGTCTCAGGGCCTGTCACTCTTGCCGTGGCCCCTTAAGAAGGCAGACCTCCAGGGGTCTCTTGCAGGGCGTGCCAAGAATGAAGGCCCTGAGCTTCCTTCCCTGGGGCCATTTCTCAGGGTGGTGTTCACCTGGAGAACCCTCAAGGGACAAAGAGTGGCTTGCTCACTGTTCGCTACAGCAATAGTGGACTGCCCAGCCCAGGGCTCCTTAGCAGCCACGCAAACCCGCTGTGTGTGCAGCACCCACTCGGGCCCACCTGCACGGCCTCTGCGGAAATTGGGAGCAAAGGGAATGAGAAAAAATGTGCAGGTGCTCACGCTGCCTGCCCTGCCATGAGTAGCATTCGTGAGTCCTTCGTCTCTGGCCCAGAAGTCTCGAGTCTCTGTCAGCACCTGAGCCACAGTAACAAGCAGGCTTTCGTAAAACCCCACCTGGGACGGACACCGCCCTGAGGAGGACCTAGGCTTCCCTGCCCCACTGACACCCATCTCAGCCACCTGACTTGCTCTGGCCAAAGGCACAGGAGCCGGAGCGACTTGTCCCGGCTCTAGGCAACAGCTGAAAGAGCCGCGGCATGGTTTCCCTACGTCTCCTGCTTTTCCGCCCACTGCCAGGAGAACGGCACGTTCCGGAGGGCTCCGGCTCCCTCGGCTCCGACCCCAGAACAGAACGAGGAGGCAGGAAGGGCAGAGCCACGCCATAGACGGCTCCAGAAGCTGCTGTGACCCGCTGAGGCTCGGGGGTTGTTACCACAGCACGACCTCTGGAAAGCTCACCGATGGATGAGAGTTTATATGCGGAAAGCAGGGAGGTGCAGTTATCAGCATGTACATTACACTAGAGTAAAAAGCAAACACGTCTATTTATTTACTTCGTGTGTGCCATATGTGTACGGCATGTGAGGGAGTGGAGAAGAGACGTCACCCCAAAATATGCTGGTCTGGCATATTGACTACCTTGGATTGAAGGTACTTAAAAAACCTAGCAAGTCCGAGATCATCCTGACCTTCTTCCTGCTTCTTAAAAGCTGAAGGTCACATACCCATGGGAGAGGAACCTCCCAGTGCCAGAAAGATCCTTAGCTCCATCACCAGGAGCTGAGACAGCGAATTCTCTGTGGACCTTGTTAAAATAATTCTGACCTTTTCAGCCTGCCCAGGTAACCCAGATGCTTCCTCACACCTTAGCATTCCTCCTCCGATTGGGCAGGTAGGCAACAGACTAATTGCTCCACGGGCAGTCATTCCTCAGGGCAGTCATTCCTCACGAGGGTTCCCATGCGGCGAAACTTGTGTCAGATAAACCTGGGTTGTTCTCCCATCCGCCTCACATCGATCTAACTGTGGGGCCCAGCTGGCCTCCAGGGTGGGGTGTCCCGTAGCCCCTTATCCGTGCACGTGAGCACCTGCGCTTGCGCCTGCACCTGCGCCCACCTGGACGGGAGGCCCGGCGTGTTGTTTCCTTAGGGTTTCTCTGGCTTCCAGGCCCCCACCCCGCTTTGCACCTGCACCTGCGCCCACCTGGGCGGGAGGCCGGCCCTGCTGGCTTCCGGGAGGCTCCCGCCCCGGGAGGGGAACTGACCCCTGACCCCCCCTCTTGCTTGCGGGGTCTCTTGGATAGTCTGCATCCCGTCCCGGACCCCCGCTCCCCGGGGAGCCCCGCAGCCCTGCTCCCCGCCCTGCTCCCGACCGCGAGCGACTCCCCGCCTCGGGCTCTGCTCGGCCCGCGCTGGGCCGCGGATCCCAGCCGACGCGGCGACGGCCCGTCTTCCCGCGCCCGGGCCTCCGCCAGCGCCCTTCACCTCCCGGGCCGGGTCGCCGGGTCCGCGGGTGGCACGCGGGCGCGTGGCGGAACACGGCGGCACAAAGCCCACCTGCCGGGAACCTGCCGGGAACCTGCCTCCAGCCGCGCCCCCCGCGCAGGCGCACTGGCTGCTGTGCCGCGGCCGCCGGGCAGCTGGGGGCGGGGCTACGACGCACGGCGCGCGCGGCCATATTGGGGCGTGGCCTGAGGTGGGCGGAGCTGTGCGCGGGCGGAGCCGAGCCTGAGGCTGGCGGGGGCGGGGCCGGAGTTGGGGGCGGGGCCGGAGTTGGGGGCGGGGCCTGGGCGGGAGCGGGCGCGTGGCAGCCGCGCTGCGGGGCTTGGGCTGCGCGGAGTGTCGGGGTGTCGCCGGGGCCTCCGCAGCTCCGGGCGGCCCTGGGCCAGCACCGGGTGCGTCTGGCGGGCGTGGGGCCTCGGCCCTTGGCCTGCCGGAGTCCCTGGACGGAGGCCCCTTCGCGGGAGGTGGTTTCCGCCGTCCCTGTCGTCCGCCCTGCCGTCGCGGAGACCCTTCCCCAATCCCAGGCGTTCAGCAGCCCCTTCTCTGTGCAGCCCTGGCCCTTCTCTCTCCGCGAGGGCCTTGGTAGCTCACAGGTCATCGGCCCTCATCTCTCCCTGCCTCCCTGTCCCCAGCCCGCAGCCGCAGTGTGCCCTGCAGAGCCTGGGCCCAGTGGCAGTCTGGCAAGTCCTGCCCCTCCCGTGCCACCTGTCACCTCTGGGTCTCAGCCCCTGCTCCGAACAGTGGGGACACTCAGCCCTGCTCTGCCTCTCGCAGCCCTGGGTGGGCCAGCTGGGCACTGAAAGACCGATGGCCAAAGCAGGAGGGTGAGCCCGGGGGGTGGGAGCTGGGGCCAGGCCTGGCGCGCACACCTGTGGCCTCTGCTTTCCAGAGCTCTGCCTGGGTGAGAGCAAGCCGTTCTATAAGCAGCTGGGCTCCAAGCGGCGAGTGTGTATGTGGGGGTACCCGGGGGGTGGCATGGGGCTGAGGAGCAGAGTCCGCCTGAGCTGGCAGAGGGGCCCAGGCGCCCTGTTCCTGCATCCCTCCTCTCCCTGGAGCCCTCTGCTCTGCTGTGCACTCAGGCCTTCCCAGGCAGGTCTGCTCTGGTGGCACAGACCGCCCTGGCCAGCCTCTGCCGACTCTCTGGGGTGTCGTGTGTCTCTAACGAGGCCTCTCACCCAGGGCCTGCTCTACACAGGCTGCAGGGCCCAGACCACTAGAGGGGCGTGGAGCCTGGTGCCACAGGCAGGGGCCATGCCGGCCTTCTGGTGCCTGTGCCACATGCCCCTCCCCTGAGCCAGATGCTCTGGCTCACCAGCCTGGGGCCCAGTCCATCCTCCGGGCACCCCGGCTGAGTGCCCCGCTGCTGGTGGGTTGGGCTGCCCCGTGCCATCTCTGAGCCTCCGGTGAGGTGGGTGGGTTGGGCGGGGCGGGCCTGACCCGGGAACTGGTCTGTGCATCTGGTGGGGACGGGCAGACGCCGGACTCAGTCTTCACCAGGGTCTGGCCCGGGAGCTGGTGTCGTCATAGGAACAATAGCCTGCGTATCCCGCCGGCCGCTCTGGGAAGCCTGCTTGAGACGTGGCTGTCAAGGCTTGTGATAGCCAAGGCGGTCCAGCAGGAGGGGAGGTGGGAGCCCCTGGGGCCTTGCCTCTGGGTCTGACCTGGGCCGTGCCCACACACCTGACCTCCAGGCCGAGGCTGTCTGGGGACCTGCCGGAGTGGAGGGCTGCTGGTGGCCAGCACAGGTGGGTCGGGGAGGGCCCGGGGCCACAGCCTCAGGTGGGAAGGCCTTTCTGCACTGGTGACTGCACCCTGCCCCTGCCTCTGGCTGGTGGATCTCAACACGGCTCCTCCTCGGCAGTGTGACAAGGATGTGAGTGGGAGGTGAAGCCCCAGCGTCCGAGAATCCGGGAGGCATATGCTGCCCTGGGCGTGCCGTGAGTTGGATTCGAAGAATCATTCTGGAGCCGCCGGGCAGGGACTCTGAACCTTGGCTGACCCCAGGCGGCAGCGAGCCGAGAAACCGCAGCACTGGGCAGGCATTTCCTCACTGGCCCGAGCCCTGTGGCTTCCACCTCGCTCCCTGCTGGGCTCCTCTGGCCAGCTGGGCGGTTGTGGGTCCTGTGGTGTCACTTTCTGCCATGAAAGTTGCTGTCCCTCAGAGAAGATGGATGGCACATGGGGTGCTGGGGACTTTAACCTCACTGCCCCGGCCTGGTCACTTCCTCTCATCCGGACAGCCCAGCTCTGACAGGTTCTGAAGGCCACCTGGGTACCTCGCTGGGTTTCCCTCCTCCAAGCCTGGGTGACCACAGTGGCCTCCTGTTGCTCTCTAGCTTCCTTCCCACCCCTGCCTGCTCCAGACCTTTCCCTCTCCATGGTCACGGAGCAGGTGGCGCGTCCCTCTGCGTTGGACCCTCCTCTGGTGGATTCCAGCTGTGGCTCCCCAGGTCCCCTGGGCCCACCTCTCGACCTCAGCCCCGCTGGGTCTCTGAACGTGTGGTCCCTTAAGTCGGGCATTTGGGAGCATCCTGGTCACTGCTGAGTCCAGCACTAGGCCCCCCTCCCTCCTGGGCAGCTCACAGCTGCCTGGCAGGAGGCCACCACTACCCGGATCCGCGCCCCTCCCAGACAGACAAGGTGGCCACTTCTTTGAAGCGTTTACTTAGCTCAAGTCTGAAGCTCCGGACATTCGGGGAGCACGCGCTTGGAGAGTGGGCGGAAGACAGTTGGTCGCATCTACTGGGCTGCGACGGGACGCCGGCCCGGCGGGCGTGCGCGGAGGGGCGCCGCGCTGGACACCGCTCACCCGGGAGTCCGGCGGCGGCGGCTGCGCTCCAGGCCGGGCGTGGGGCGAACGCGGTCCCCGCGGCACCTTGTCTCCGCGGGCGCCTCCCGGCGGCCGGTGGGCGTGGGCCGCGCAGCTCAGCTCGGCTCGGCCTTGGCTACCAGACGCGGCATCGCTTCCTGGGGTGCATGGGGGTGCCTCGGGCGCACCGGAAGGCATCGGCGAAGGCGCCCAAGTTCCGCAGCGATCCCAGCACCCTGCGGGCGGCGCGCGGGCCGGTGGAGGGTGAGGCGCGGGGCGCGCGGGGCGCGGGCGGAGCGGTGGAGGGTGAGGCGCGGGAACGCGCGGGGCGCGGGCGGACTTGCCTGTACTTCAGGGGGCTGTGCACATCAGTCTTGATGGACTGGACGGCGAACTCGGGCCTGTAGGACCCGCACCACACCTGCGGGAGCGCGAGGGGCGTGGCTGTGGGACGGGCTGGGGCAGTCGGGGCACCGGGTTCCTCCCCTCCCCGCACCTGTGAGTTCCCAGCTCCCTCTGCCCCCAGCCTCATCACCGAGCCTGGTAAGGAAGTGCCCCGCCTTCTGCCCACACCCTCACCTGCTGGAGCAGGGCCCTCCCAAGGCGTACAGTGGGGAGGTGGCGGTGGGTGGCCCTACCTGGGCATAGTTGATGAAGAAAAGCTGTTCGTAGGTCAGATGCAGTCCGGGCAGCTGCTGGTCCTTGCCGCCTTCCGCCACCCACTTTAGGTACGCCTGCGGGCACATGGGAGCTGGCCGGACTCCAGAGTCCTCAGGTCTCCCCCCAGAGTGGGGGTCCTGCTCCTGCAGCTTGGGGCCCCTTTGCACCTGCCTCCCACGAGTGCTCACCACCTTAATTACTCAGGGGCTCTCTGAACACCTACATCCGCTGGGCTCTGTGGGGATCCCTGGCCAGCATGGCAGCCCCAGTATGAGCTTCTGGCACCTAGTGCTCCCCCATCCCTGAGGCTGTGGGCGCAGAGGGTGTGCGATGGCTCAGCTGTTCCTGCATGTGGGGAGTGGGGGCGAGATGCCCGTGCCTGCCTATGGCAGGAGGTGCTGCCCCAGAGCACTGCTGCCTGCCCAGTACGGAGGGAGGGGTTCCCATGACGCCTGCTGGGCCAGGTTGCTCCCCCCACCTCCCTGGGGGCCCCGCTTGCACCCACCTTGTAGGCCTGCCGTACCCCTCCGTTGTCAGCAATGTTTTCCCCGAGGGTGCTGAATCCGTTTACCTGCACACAGGAGACAGCATGGGGGGCCGGGCAGCCTGAGCCTGGCTGCCCTGCTCCCCCACGGCCAGTGCTGGGGTTCGAGTCCCCTGGGTAGCTGGGTACCCATGGCACGCTCACATTTTGATCGTCCGCTAGGTCCCAGGAGTAGTTGCCGTACTGGTAGATCATGCACTCGGACTGCTCGCGGAAGTGCTGGGTTGAGAAGTTACTCCACCAATCCATCATGTTGCCGTCCTTGTCAAAGTTCCGGCCTGGGAAGGGGCAGGGGTGAGGCGGGCTGCCTACCTGCCCCTGCGCCCTGGGCCCTCTGGCCGATGGCGGCCCAGTACACAGCCTCTCCTGCCCCTTCTCCAGCCAGCCCCAGAGTCAAGAGCTCACGGTCTTGGCAGGGACGGGCCTGGAAAGGCACTGGTGTGCTCTGGGGTACTCAGCCCCCCAGAGCAGGTGGGCTTCAGTGATTCTCCACGCCACCCTCTGAAGTTAGGGCCTGAGGTCTCAGAGGCACAGTGGTTTAAGGACTCCTGGGATGCCCAAACTCCCTGAACCCTAGGTGGGGGGTGCACATGGCACCTAAGGACACGCGGCTGCCAGGGAAGGCCCTGGTGGCTGAGCCACATGGGAACCAGCGGGGGCACCTGTGTGTGTTGGAGGTTGGCATGTCGGGGTTGGCACGTCCCTGGCCGGAGAGTGCTGGCTTCCTGGAAAGGATCCTGGGCTGGGATTGGGCCAGGCCGGGACCCTGAGCTTCACAGGTGTGCTGGGCAGTGCCACTGCCCTCGTTTCATGGGCCAAGGGAGGGGAAGTGACCAGTCGCCAGGTGGAGTCAGATCATGGGATAGAGCTCTTGTGTCCCTTCCTCCCTACCTGGAGCAGGTGCCCTGGATGGCACCCCAGCCTGGCACTCAAGACCTGCCCTGCCCCCGCAGCTCCCTGGGGGACCTGGCACGTCGTCCCGGACCCTGGCCTCAGTGTCCCCACTTAAACCATGAAAGGGTTGAGTGGACACCTCCAGGCCCCTGCCTGCTGCTGCTCAGTGGAGACAGGAGTGGGTGTGGCCCTCACCATTGTCGTCGAAGCCATGCGTGATCTCGTGCCCGATCACCATCCCAATGCCCCCGTAGTTCAAGGCCTGCGGCTGCTCCTTGCTGAAGAAGGGGGGCTGCAGGATGCCGGCAGGGAACACTGTCCGAGGCGGGGGACAGGGAATAAGCTGTGAGTGGGTGCATCTCCCATGTGCCGGGCTAGGCGTGGGCACCTCCAGGGGTCCTGTCACCTAATCCCACAGCCTGGCAGGTAGAGGCTGGGGACCTCAGTTTACAGAAGAGGAGACTGAGGCTCCAAGGCCAGGAGGCAGGGTCAGTGCGTGGCGGGTGCAGGACCCATGTCCAGCTTCTTTCTAGCATTCTGTGCACCTTCAGGAAAGGGGTCTTTGCTGCCCCCCAAACCCACCCCCATGGACATTCACGGACGCAGGAGTGAACCTTCCCTGCAGGTGGGTAAGGGGCGAGGTGGGCAAGAACAGGCTGGGGCACCCCCAGCACAAAGGGGGGGCAAGAGGCTGCAAGTTGCCCCTTGACCTCTGGCACTGAAGGGCCTGGGGCAGGTGTGTGGGGGGCAAACGTACCAATCTGGTTTCGGTTTGGGGAGTAGAACGCGTTGACCACGGCGGCCCCGATGATCCAGCTGCGATAAACAAGGCTGTCGCTTGGAGCCCACATCTGGGACCGTCCCGCTGCTCGGTCCCTGCCCCAACTGACCAGAGCCCACCCTGAGGAGGCCCATGTTGCAGTGGGCATGCCAGAGCAGGGTCGGGGCCAATCCCAGGGTTGGATTCCCCTCTGGGGCCCCTGAGGAGGGGCAGCTCAGGCCCCTGAAGCAGAGGGTGCTGGGGGAAACTGAGACTGGCCCAGCAGCCCTCCGCAGCTGGCACTGGGCCAGCCGTGGCCAAGCATGGGTTGCATCTGCATGCCACGCCGGCCACTCCCCGGGGCCCCATGTGACACACCGGCCACACCACTCACAGATTCTGGTCCACCTTTTCTCGAAGCTTCTTTATGCTCCGCTGGGCACCTGCCCTGAGGTTCTGGAGGCTGTTCTCAAAGTACAGGTCCTCTGAGAAGTTCAGCTACAGGACAGGGGCAGTCACTGCCAGCGCTGGGGCTGGGTCCACAGCCGGGAAGGGAGAGGTCAGGTCTGGCTGGGGAAGCCCTCAAGGCTCGCCAGGCAGCCGGCACGCGGCTGGCAGGCCCTGGGTGTGGGTGGACTGGGGGTGGGGGGGCAGCCCTGCCTCTGAGCAAGTCCCTAGTCCCTCCAAGCCTCAGTTTCCCCATCTGTAAACGGAGGGTAGCGCTGGAGCCGCCCCAGGCCATGGTGAGGACAGCATGGTGCTGGGGTTGGGCACGGAGCACCCTTCCCAGTGATCAAGGCCCCCTGTCCACAGGGGCTGCTTGGGGACAGGTGGGGTTGGGGACGGTCAGGGGCTGAGCAGCGTGGCGCCGGGGGGAGGGGCGCACATTGGAATACTCCTCGTCCAGGCGCTTGTTCTTCTCCTGCAGGATGTAGTCGGGGTAGCCGACCTGCTGCCGGATACTCATGGCCTGAGGAGGGAGGGCCCATGGGTGCCTGCCCCGCCCCAGGAGGGCTGGACCCAGGGCACCCTGGCTCTGCTCTCCTTGCCCTGTGGGTAAGGGACTCAGGGACTCAGCCCCCAGCTCCACCTTGCAGCGTGTGGAGGTTTAATGGGGACAGAACATGGCGGGCTTGGCCTCCCCACCAACTTTCCAGGAACCTGGGGAAAGACCTGGCCTCAGAGTCCGATAGCCAGCCAGGAGCTTGCAAGGGGCCAGGAGGCTGCTGTTGTCACCCTGACCCAGAGGGGCCTCTGATGGATCCCGGGCCTTACTCCCGAGGCCACCCCTGCTGGTCCCTGGGGATGGCTGGGGATTTCCTGGGCTTGGCTTCCATCCTGTCTCTGCCCCACCACCCCTCATCTCTCAGGTGTCTGTGCTGGTGGCCTGCCTGGAGCTGCCCGCTTCTGTCTGGGCCCCCATCCCCACTGCGGCTGCCTGGGCAGCTGCCCAGGCCCCACCAGGCCGGCGCACCTTATCCTGGGCCTTCCTCCTGGACTCCTCGTCCATCCAGCCCAGCTCGTCCAGCGTCTCCACAAACACGGCCCGCACCTTGTCAATGAGTTCTCCAACCTGGGGGGAGGCACGGCCCTGGCGTCCCAGACTCACCCCAGGGTGGACGGCCAGCCTGGGGTCTTTCCGGGAGGTCTGGTCCGAAGCACAGCCAGGACAGCCCAGACCACCCCCGGCTGCGGCCTCACTGGACAAGGTGCAGGCCGGTGCGGGGATGACCACTCCGTCCAGGGCCCTCCCTGCTGGACCTTGGGTCCCACCCCTGGACTCTGTGTGCACCTTTCCCAGGGGGACCTCTGGCCGGCTGGGGGTTCCCCCGCCCCTCCCCCCATCTGCTGCACCCCGGGTGCCCCCGGGCAGACACCTGCTGCCCAGGCGGAGCGGGGGTCAAAGTGCAGGGGAGCCGCGGCTGCTCCCCACCGCCCCGGGCCGGTGTCCCTGCGAAGCCTGTGCCAGGCGGGCGAGCTGCCCCCGGGGTGGGCCTGGACAGGGGCTGGGCACACGGGGACGCAGGGCCGCCCACCATGTCCTTGCTCTCTCCAGGGAACGCCTGCATGACGTAGAGGGAGCCCACGGCGCTCTCCATGTTGCTGTTGACGTAGCCCACGCACTCTCGCCAGCGCACCTCCTCCACCGTCGTGCCGTACAGCGCCTGGCGGGTTCGTCGTCGGGGAGTTCGTCCCCCCTCTTGTGCCAACATCCACCTCCCCAGGGCCTGCCCTGAGCAGACGCACCCGCCCTCTGCCCCAGGGTGCCCGGGGCGGTGGGGGCATGGGATGGTCTCAGAGACTCGCCTGAGTCTCCGAGTGCTGGCCGTGGGTGCTGGCCGTGGCGTGGGGGCCGGTGTGCGGATTTGAGTGGAGGGTTCCCACACGGACTGGGAGTTGGGCTTTTTAGGCTGGGGGAGTTGGGGTTCCTCCTTGGCCCCTGTCCTTGTCACTTAGACCTGGTTATCTGGCTGGACTCTGTCCTCTAGGAGTCCAGCCCCACCGCAAGGCACAGGGCTGGCCTTGTCAACGAACGAATGAGTAACAGGCCCGCCTCGGGCAGGGCGGGGCCTCGCTCACCTTGCGGTAGTTCACGCGTGCGTCCTTGAACCTCTGGCTCAGGCTGCCAATGCGGTCCAGCACCAGGCGCCAGGCCAGGTAGTTCTGCATGGTCCTGGGGGCAGAAGGTGGGAGGCGGGGCTGGAACGGGCAAGCCGGTATTTGCCAAGGGATATGGAGGGGGCACGCGTGGGGCCCTTGGCCAGCAGGTTCCACTCCGTAGAGTTCTGGCTGCCGGGGAAAACCTACGAGGCTGTGTGGCCGGGTGCCCGGGAGAAGCCTCACATCTCTGAAGTGAGGCTCACTGACCACTGAAATGCAACCCCCTCGTGTCCCCCTCCCCTCCTCGGGGTAAATGCATAATGGGGACGGGGACAGAGTAGGCGCAGGTGTGGAGGCCTCTCGGGACCTCCCCTGGGCTGCACCTGGTCGAGTAGGTGTGGATGATGTGCTCGAGGTTCCGCAGGTAGGGGATGCCGTAGACCACCACCTCCTCGTTGGGCAGCAGCTTGATTTTCACGGAGGACAGCACAGTTTGTATGAAGAGTGTCCAGTTAAATCCCTGGGCAGAGGGGGCGGGGGGAGAGAGGGCGGAACAGGGAGGTGGACACAGCTCCCAGGCCCTGCTGCAGAGTGTCCGTGGAGCAGAGAGACGGCGCGGACGGTCAGAGCAGGGAAAGGCAGGTGACGCGGCCATGAAGCCTGCGGACCGGGAACGCGAGAGCCACCGTGCCGGCGTATTCGAGAATGTAAGTACGATGGGGAAATGCCAGAGAAAAACACAACTTAGCGAAAGTGACAAAAGAAGAAATAGAAAATGCAAATAGCCTGATGAGTCAAATAAGCTGACTCTTTCATCTGAAATAGTCCCACAGACAAATTTCCCGGCTCG